CCCCCCCCCCCCCCCCCCCCCCTCCCAATTGGCTCTGCAAGTCACATCCTTCCATCAATCCCAATCTGCCAGTCTGAAAAAGACAAATTCACCATCAATTATTGTTGCTATTTCACTTTGAGGGACTCTAAAGCACCCAGTAGACAAGTCAACATTACTGCACTGTATGTGTGTCATTTCCCCTTTTAAAATAACTCGGCTGTCAATTAATGGAAACCACCGAATAAATATTTTAAAGTTGACCTCTCGGAGAGCTGCTGGAGAGCCTCGAGCTGCTTGTACTGTGGTGGGATCTTTGTATCCAAACTGTAAATCCCTTTGGTTTGTGGCGTTACTTTAATGTTGTGCTGATAGAGTTTATATGCTGGTTGCTTTTACCAATAAATTGAAGCAACTGTGGATCAGTGACTTTGCAACTTTATTTTTATTTTACATTACACTTAGTACAGGAAAAGCATCTTTCAATGACACATATAATGGGTTACATATATGTAATCCATTCTTTTCCAACTTATATCATATCTTAGTGTTGAGGTAGATGCCAATTTCTACATACAGTATATTTCGTTGGCAATTGTCCTTTGATTGAGGGCATTCTAGCTCTTTCTGAGCCATGAGTTTGTCTGGGAATTTTCGCACAAATAATGTGACAGAAGAGCAATCAATCTCTACTCCACAAATTGTCATTATTTCTTAAGTGATCTCTTGCCAACATGAATATCTCCAGCATTCATTCAGCCCGATAAGGCCTCTGAATACAATTCAATTTTGGAGTCACAGAAATTTGTATTATGATCTCACAACAGAACTCTCTCCAGGAGTTGGCAGTGATAGCCTGGCTTTCCCATGTATCATAATAATATGAATAAATCATGCACTATTCAATGCCCCTGGCATCTCAACCCCTCGATATTTAACAGCAACAAACTACTCATAGGTACTCATGTATTTAATCTTATGCATTCATGAATATATTGACCAAGTTAGTTCACTATCCTCCATTTGTTTAATTTCTTTGCAAAGGTAATCTCTGACCTGAAGAAAACTTTCTCTTCAGCAGTTTTCCACGAGGCAAGGGGAACAATAGGTACATTGCTTTTCAGTGGGGTGAAGGTTCCTTCATACGTCATGCCAGTGGAATATATACATTCAATAAAGTAACTTTGTGAGCGATCACCTTCCTTATCTTTCATTTGAGCAGTTAGTTGCCTTGTTAGGGAGTAATATGACCATTCCTCTTATGCCAATGTGTGAAAGGAATAAAATGTATTCATGAACCCCTTTTGTGGTGTTGTTTACAATTATTATGTAACATCTTATATGTCTATGCCCTGCTTAACATTATCATTCAAGCGTTCTTCTTGGTAATACCCTGTGCTTATGTGTGTCTCCAGTCCAGAAACAGTCTCCAGGTGGGAGATATTGATGGGGCCAGGAGGCTGGGTCAACTGGCTCGTCTGCTCAGTATCGTCTCCATCGCCCTGGGCGTGGTCATCATCGTAATCTTCGTCTCAGTTTCAGGTGCAGAAACGACGACAAGGAGGACAAATTTCAAAATACAATGATAGCTCCTTTAAGTGTTTGTGATAATGACTCATATTTACAAACAGTATTTGGTGAAGCTTCAGTGATGCAGTGCATAGTGCCTAATCTTAACTGTATGATTATAGTATATCTTATGAATATGCAAAGGTATATCACTTGAAAATCACGTATGGTATGTGTGCACATGTCCACTCACAGACGAGCACAGGGCTTTAACAACAAGTGTTCAACAACAAAGAATACCTACTGCATTACATTTACAGGGTGATATATGACACTACCACACAAGCATGAGATGTGTTTTTCTACGTCTCAACTCAGCACATTTCCAAGCCTTGTGTATGTGTGTGTGTGTGTGTGTGTGTGTGAAGATTGATTTAGTACTGCAGTGGCCGTAGTGGGCTGACTGTGCAGCAAGGGCAGCTAACCTATTGCTCAAAGCCTTCGACACTTGAGCCGCACCAGTCAGAGTAATTAATTTGATGGTGAGTTTCAAGCTGTCTTTGTGTCTGACCTGACTTTCTCTGACGATGTCCCACGTCTCCTCTTCTTTCTTTTGCAGTAACCCAATGACATGGACGACCTGAGGGGGGAAAAAACTAACCGTGAATGCCAAACCACGGATGCAACAAAGAGGGGAAAAGCCCGATGAAAAAAAAAAAAAATACAAGAAACAAAATTCTCAACTTTATGCCATATTGTAATTACATCATGACTGACCTCAGAAAGCAAAAGAAACAAAAAAAACAGGCAACTCATGAGAGTAGGTACTGCAGCAAGTAAACAAATAAAAACATTCAGAGAAAAAAATCAGAGATGCATGCATTAGAATCCAGTAACATTTGCTTGACAAAAATAATGAAAACCTGATGTAAAATAGTTTGGGTTAAAACAGAGGAAAAAGAAAATGCAGATTTGTGTGTGGCCAGGAGGACTCGTGAATGTTTATTTTTGGAATAATGGACTTCTTAAATGAAGAGGACGATCTACGTGTGAGGAGAGAATGAACAATGGACGTTTCTATGTCTGCGCTCCTTCGAAAAACAGATTCTGAGTTTGGGCTTCAAACTTTCGGACAGCTGCATATAATCCTCATATATACCTTACTGAACCTCTTACATTCAAAGCATATACAGCTACAAATATATTTGAAATATGGATATATGAATACATATATATATATATATATATATAGATGTACATTTTATAAAATGTTTGTATGCCAAGTGGTGCTGGGTTTGTTAACACTGTCACGATGGCTGCTTTGACAGCACTTGGATTATCAGTAGAAATTCAAGGGTTTGTGAAAAGAGGCAGGGAACACATTTTTTATTTTTGTTATCTATTATCATTTTTTGAACTAAAAAAAACAAATTGAGACCAACTGCATGCCTGAATGTAGATAACCAACATTCTGCCTTCTTTTTGACTGTTATTAGTTGTCTCTTTTCTTATAAAGGAGTCAGAGAGGCTGACAGGTTTGCACATGGAAGTAATAATCATGGAGTGATTATTATTGTGTCCATTATGTGAGTCCAGCCACTGTAGAACGTGAGAGGGCTGAGATCTAAACCCCTTTATATCTCCAAAATCTTTTGAACCTTGCCTTGCTCTGGCAGAATAAAACGCATGCCAAAACTCCCTCCTACTTTTCCTTTCACATCCTCCAGTTCTTTACCACAAAAACCTGATTTAGTGGCTGCTGTCCTTCATCTTGTTCCCGTAAACTCCATTTTACAAATTACCTTGTACTACCTTTCTACGCCATAGCTCCCCATTTTCCATTATCATTCTTACATTGTTGTACATTGACTGTTACACGCCATTGATTCACTTCTGCTCCTTGTATTGGTATGAAATGTATTTATATGGGAAAATATATATGCAATATGTACGCATGCTATTGGCCAAGCCGGCTTCAATACATTTATTTTTTGTAAATGAACAGGCCCGAGTTTGACAGGACATTTCTCTGAAATCCAAGCACGACAGATTGTCCCCTGTGGCTACATAGGACTGTTGTATTGACACATTACTGGCTTATGCTACAAGCACAGGTAACATCACTATGTAGCAATTCTTTTTCAGCATTGCTTCTTTCTTTTTTTTAATCTTGTGCTATTTTAATCAGGAATCATTAGGACCTCATTTTAAAGTGATATGTGTGTTTGTTTAAGGGCTCATACAAGTGAAACTAGAGGAACACCAGCTCATTTTAACTGATGAGGGATGAAATGTATCCAGCTGAAGATATTCTACCAAGTCCTTAATTGAACATCATCAATGTAAGGCTGAACAACTGCAATCTTTAAAGTGTTAACACTATAATGCACAATGTTTTGTGTGAAATGGGCTTTTATCAATTCCATTCAAATTCATAGTTGTACATAAAAATCATATTCCTTATCCAAACATCTGAAAGCAGCAAAATCCAAAGATTCCCCGTGTTTACTACCAATCTTAAAAAAAGTGTTCTATTACATTACAATGTGTAATTTCTGTGGATCACATTGAGTGTAGTTTACCGCTCTTGTGTTACTATAGAAGATACAAATTTCCCATCACTGAACATGGTTAGGAGCCAACTGTTTAGCGTATAAGCTCTGCTCCGTCAGTAAAACAGTTCAAACCGCCATTTAATTTTGTTATATAACACGGTTTCTTTTCCAATATACTGTACGTGCCAGTTTTCATCTCTGTTGTGTACATTGTGCATGTCCGGAATAAATGTTACCATGCATGGTCCAGGTTTCTTGCCTTTTGGTCAAACTGTTTATAAAGAGTTGTGATGACATCCAAAAGTGAGTTAAGAAGACTAATGCTGTGTTCACACCAAAGGCGGCGCAAATTTGTCGCGCTAGTAGTTTACACGAATGATGCGAAGCAAATAACGTGGAACTCACCTCATTCGCGCATTCATTTTTCAACTCGGGCGAGAAATTCGCGTGACACTGCGTCGCGAAAGCCTATCAGCGTTAAGAGCCTATCAGCGTTGTCCGGAAGACAAGCAAATAACTTTTAAAATACTTGTTTTCTCAATGGAGCTCGGATCGATCGGTGCTAGGCTATGCTAACATTGTAGCAGCTCCATCAATACTTAAAGTAACGTCATCTCGGTGTAAATACGGCAGCGTCTTTTTCATTGTTTGTACCATATGGTTTATACACACACAGTTTTGTCAGGTCTCTGCTAATATGAGGTATCGTAGAGCTCTGGGTGCCCACCTATGACTACAAATAAGATTTCCTGATTCAACAACGGCAGGACGTCAGTGATGACAGGAGGAGAATCTCTCTTTCGTGACACAGCGTCATGCAAATTTCTCACCAGAGTTAAAAAAAATGTGTAATTTGAGTCTATTCGCGACTTTGTATGTAATCTAATCGCACTTGGTGTGAACACAGCATAATAATTTACCGCCATGCAGCTGCTTTGTTGAGCTGTATTTCAGTGTAGTGGTGCTTTGAAATGAATGCTAACGTCAACATGCTAACACGGTCACAATGACAACGCCAACGCCAACATGTTGACGTTTAGCAGGTACAATGTTCACCATCTTACTTTAGCTAATCAGCATGCCATCATTGACTACTACACGATACAAAGGGCAGCTGAGGCTGACAGGGAGCGTATTCAATGATAAACCAAAGTATTCTTTTCAAAAGAAAAAAAACAAACAATGTATAACCAAAGTCAGTGTGCTTCATCCTCTGTGAAACACGAATGCCACGGCCATCCATTCAATATAGGTTGAGACATTTCAGTCTGGACCAAAAGGGGAACCATTCGACAGATTGACGTGGGTAAGAAGGAGTGCCTGAGAGTGACTGCACATTTTGAACAGCAGTTTATAAAAACACTGATGAAGAATGTCATCAATTGCGCAAAATGACAACGGTTGAGAACAGAGGTAGGAACATCAAAATCATGGAAGCAATGTTTATTTGACCTCACATTGAGGGAGGGTGAACACGATTCAATGTTACCGAGACTTAATCACAGAGATTGATTCAACTCTGTAGTCTGCAATGCTGTTTTATTGGATTGCACTGGGCCTGTATTACACAGCTGCTGCATTTAATATATCTAAACCCTGTACATGCAGCAGGTCCTGGTACACAATTGTGCCTCGGTGCACACAAACACCATTTTTCATGGCTGCCACAACTGTGGGTTATGAATGGCTCTAGCATACTGAGGAACCCACGGACCTGAGACAAACTAAAACAAACTGCATTCTTTCTTCTACCATTGAAGGTAGCGGCTTCTTCTAGGGTTCAGATACATATAGTGTGTCTTTTAATTTGCCAAAAAAAGGATAACTAGACCAATGCTTATCTTGAACTTCACTTAAAAGTCTTTTGATCCATCAACAGACCTCGACAGAGAAAAGTGTAGTTTTCACACAAACACAGAGGACCAGTCTTCTGTCTTCCCTTTCCGCTGCTCTGATTAAACAGACTTTGTGCTCGTCAGAAGTTAGCGTAGCGCGACACTTCCAAGTGAGAGGATCTGGCGCTTAGCTCTGCTCGGGTGGAGCTCAGTTCGAGTGGCTGACATTTCAGCAGCTCAATGCATCAGCACCTCTACAGCCTTACCGACGGCGTGGACACATGTCTGGGACCAAATTTAGACTTCAGCACAAGGTTTCCTTCCTAAAAGGAAGTGAGATATTCAGGGGAAGGTGGCAATGCTTGTCTGGCTACTGCTGGGACGTATTCATCCTCTTCAGTCTGTTGAAGTGAGCCTAATGCTGCGAGACAAAAACACATTGATGTTTCTCACACAGCTGCCTTGCTTTTAAATTCCTACACCACCCTCTGCCAACAAGGAGACTTAACTAACCTAGTGAGGCAAATCCAGCCCCTTCTCAGATGAATGCTTCAGTTCTCACCTTCAAACACACGTCACTTTGTGTTTCAAGTGGAGTGAAATCAAATAGGGGTTCATGGGCTCTGTTGGGCGCACTATACGTGCAGAATGGTTATCTCCTTCAACAGCCAATCCTCAAAGCAGTGCTTCTTCATTTTTCTTCGATGGAATCCTAGACGTAGTGCACTAGAACTGCCCTTTGAAGAGACAATACATGAATCTAGTAGCTCTGTCGTGACTGCTATTGTTTCAAGAATTGCCTAAAAAAAACGGCTAAATGGCTAAATTCCACATTCAGAGCATGTCTTTGGCCTCAACACATTTTTTTCCAACATGGCTACGGCTAAGCCGGCGGATCGCAGCTTCCAGCACAAACAATGGCAACAGTGCTGATTGAGCTAACCTGAAGGGTTGGCGCTACACTTTTGCAACGACAACTGTACTTATCAGCTGTAAATCGCTGTACGAGTACAGATCAGGACAATACATTAATACACTATCTTTACATAGCAAATAGCAGTTTGCTGCTATATTAATGCTCTAAATATGGTACAGAGAATATTTAACAATTCATCACTAACCAAAATGTGAATAATAATTTCCTGTTTATTTGTCACATTGATAAATTCAGCTCCAGATGTAAATTCAGTGACCGCATGAGTGACTTGGCGGCCCAGAAAGGTTCTCGCACTGACCATGACCCACAGCCAGCATCCTCATATCGTTCCCCATCTCTCTCTCTCTCTCTCTCTCTCCCTCCCTCACTAACTGAGGTAAAAAAATACCAAAAAATGTGCAGTAAAAGTTAAATGTAAGCGAGTCCTGCTGTGGCATCGATTGGCTAAACTTGCACGGAAATGAGGCCCAATACAGTTCAGATTTCAGTTCATATATTTTGAAAAATAAAATGTTTAAATGTTCAGCATCTAGTAGCGTCGCACATTTTATTTGCACATATTGAAATGAATAATTTATTAATTCACATTGTACAGTCCACAATGAACCATCCCACCTCATCAATTAAAAAGGACCATTGAACTAAAAGAATGATGCATCGCACGCTTCACGCTTCCCTCAGTTTCTCTCCATATCAATATTATTGATTAAAATCTAGTCATATTTGTACTTTTGGTCTCCGTTCACGTGTTGGCAGCCCTCCATCTGTTCCACTGCTAATTACAAGTTCAGTAGTTCATGTTGGCCAAAGTGTGTTCCCGTCCAACAACTGGACCAACTGAATGTCTCTCTGCTCAGGAGCCTCCAGGGTCCTCCGATAACTCAGCTCAGTCTCCCGTGTTACAAAGAGCAGATCGATCCCACTCCTTTACACATTCCACCAGGTCTGGCTGTCAGTGGAAAGCATAGAGCAGGAGGAGGATGGTGCAGACACCGATCACTGTGCCGAGGATGAGAGAGTCCCTTCTCTTCCGCAGGTTGACCCGCTGGATGAGATTGTTGATGGTTGGGAAACGGTGTGGAAGAACCAACAGTTAAGGAAGATCACTGTGGCCCTTTACACACACGCACACATACACATACACACACACACACGCAGCATAAAGGATATTGGCCAGTGTGTTGACCCGGCTCTGTATGGATTTCAAGAAGCCCCGTTGGGAGGTCATGTTCTCCTTGGTCGCCATGGCAATACTAAAAAGACAAGAGAGGGACATGGATTGAGGAGGAACAATAGGCTGCATTTGGTTGCACTCGTTATACCGTAAAGTGCCTTTGACAGCAAAGCAGTGCACGTATGATTCTCTCAGACACGCAGATGTGACGTGTCTGATCCGTGCAAAGAGAGACGGTGAAATGTTTTGTAATTAAGGATTTAAAATTCACCCGAATATCGGAAAAACAACTCAGAATGCACAGTGGGGAGCATCCGCCTGGATATCAGCGTTTGAAAAAACTATCATCGCAATATCACCAATCGGCACAAGCCTACGTCCCGCCATCTAAATTCAGTCCCTACGAACTGCACCGTATCTGAAAGCTAAATTCAAGTCAAGATTTCAAGCTTTTGGGGCAGAAAAGCAAATGAAATCCAATAAAATACTTTTTCTAAACAACAATTGTGTTAACCAAAAAAAAAACAAAAAAAAACATGTCACCTATTTAACGATAACAATAATATTATAGGATGTGAAACTGTGTAGTGAATAAAAAATGGGTATTTAAAGACTACACGACTGTAGGCACGTCCATGCTACAAGTAAAGGAATTATTCTGAAACACAAGTCATCCTATCAGGTTCTCCTTCAGCTGTATGTGGGTGCCTGCAGTATGCGTGTGAGCCGCCTTGGCTTGTAGAAGGAAGGTATGACGTTGCTGTGATATTGTAGCTCTCTTGCTCTCCAACCTGGGCATCAGCAACTTTCAGTACGGGGAAAGTGCAGTTGGGCAGTTAGCTGCAAAAGTTTCAGGCCCTTTGTTTTCCTTCTGCGGCATCTGTTACACACAATAATCAATGACTGGCAGCTACTGAGCCCATGTTTGTGCCCTTCACAGTGCGAAAAAGAAATCAGCTCCCTAAAACTGTCCGACAAAGTCAAAATATCGACCTAAGTAAAGTGTTGATATGCTCAAAAAACAGGTGTGACAACAATATTATGGAACTCTTGAACAGCAGGGTGACAACCTGCAGTAAGCACTGTCCAAAGGGACCAACTCCTCCCATCCCAGAGTGACAGAGTGTGTGTGTGTGTGGTGTCATGGCATCTCCTGACAGTCCGCAGTCTTGGCCTGCAGCTGTGTTTTAGGGATCATGTTCTCCTCAGTCAGGAAGAAACACTTTGCTGATTCCAGCAACCTTGACACGCCTCTATCCCAATGTGAACCGGCTCACGAGCATCTGGGCTGGAGGATGACGGTTCCCCATCACAAACACTCTATGAGCCAACGGAGTGGTCTCAAGTTGTCGATTAACCCGTCAAGTTGAAGTCAATTCAATTCATACAAGTCAAAAATAACAAAATCAATAAATATTCCTCAGGGGGGTTTTATATTCTGTAGAACACGCGACACCAGCTATCCTAAGACCGAGGTCCATTCAGACAAGGAAAGAGGGGGGGGCAAGGGAGGAGGAAAGAAGAGGAGGAGAGTAAATCCTTAATAAACATATTTGTCATTTGTGCAGGTCTGCAGTGAGGGAAAGGAGCAGTGACCAGTGAGAGATGGATGGTAACTATAAATCAGTGAAGTGAGAGGACTTATTCTAAGCATGCGTCAGCGTCATTCACGTCATGCACACACAATATTATGTGGCTGCACTTCCAAGGCTTTGATGCGATTGAAACTCCCCACAGTTGAATCATCCGTACAAACAATGAGCAATTGCAGTGAAAAGTTACTCGATACATTTTTATAAAATGTGTTCCGATGTAAGGAACATTCAGTTCATCGTCAAAAATAGATATAATGAAAATGTACAGCTCTGCCAGATGTTTTCTCTTATACGATATGTCAAAAGAATTGTGTTTTTGTCTTTTGTCAGCAGGCTGTATCCTAGAGACTCAAAAAGAGTATCGTTTGATGTGTACAGGTCCATAGGTTAACTATTTTTTTTTTTTTTGGTAGAATTTATTAATTTCCTCACTCAGGGTTAGCATTTCTGCCATATAGTGGCTGCGGAAGGATGAGGCAAGTAGGTCTTACCTTATTGTGTCATCCATCAGTCGGTCCGAACTATAGACAAAGAGCAGGAGTAGGAAGAAAAAGATGAAGTTGTTGACATGAGAAAACAAAACGTAGCAACACATGGAATGGTGATAAATAAATGAAGTGGGGGCTGTTACCCTGATCAGTTTCAGATTGGCTGCAATAAATACTGAATTCTAATCGTGTGACACTGAACTGAAATTAATTCTTATGTTCTTTGGGACTGGATTTCCTTTTCTCGTCTCTGTATCAATCCCATCAACTCCCACAGAACCCGATTAGAATCTTCCCACTGACATCAGGCTGGTCACGTCTCTTTGTGCACTCAACACTCGTTTCAGATGCTTGCTTTTGTCCTACAGAGAATATTAGAAGGCACACACACAACGATCCCTTTATGTTGTATAAAACTTTCGTAATCAGTTTTGTGTCTCAGGTTGCTCATAAACAATAATGCTCTTAGCGGTTTATTCTCTAATTGGAATCAATTTGGATGATGTTTCAGAGAACTAAAGTGAAAGCAAACAAACAAAACTGCAGGGCTCGTTAAGTCCTATTTCAACAACTCCACTTCCTCATTGTGCAGCTCCATTATGTGGTTTCTGGTAAGCTCTTGGCATCCTTTTATTATCCAACCAAAAGTTACAGAAAGAGAGGGAAGGTCTCTCAAAGGTTCCTACCTTAATCCACAACCATCTCCAACCTTCACCGAAACCTTCTCTCACACCTTAACTTGACCATCTCAAGGCTAAATATGTTTAATCTACTCGATCGGCATAATCTTTTGTTTTCTCTGTTTTGCTGGTCAGCCCTCAAAGAAGTTTCAAAAGATCCAGTTTATTAAAAATGATTAATTCAAGGAAGACATAATAATCTCAAAAGAAAAGCTCATTTTGATTATTATTACAGAGGGAGCACTGCAAAGCTCATTCAGGTAGACCAAAAATGATGGCATCATAACTACAAAACCAAGCAATACCATCCAGGGGTTCTAATCCAAATGCGATTGTGGAGCACGGATGTGACTTTCTACAATTCACTTATGTGGTCAAGTATTGGCCAACTGATTTCTCGAAGGACAGGCCATTTTCTGGGTTATATTTATTGGTGTAATCACTTTGAGATTGGCCGTGCTAATGGCCTGTAATGCCAGCATCCTTCCCTCTGCTGGTGGGCCGAACAGGACCGACCTCAACCAGTTAACTTTGATTGTTGGGTGTAATTGCTGTAATCCCAGGAGTGTCGCCAAGAAGTCTGGACACTGCGAGGGACGTTGTGCGACAGTGTGGGCGGGACAGCCTTCTGTTCTTGGATCATAGCTCCGCACATAAGCACCGGTCTGCTATGTGGCAGTAGTTTGTAATATATCTTGGTTTTGTCACACTGAAATGGAATCATTTACAGGAATCAACTCATTTGGTAAAATGGGATGTAACTGGCACATCATTCAGAATGAAGGCTGGCAGTTTGGCCCAGGTGGATTGTGGGAAAAGTACGGTTGGTTGTGATGCAAAGAGCAGTGGAGTCAGGCCAGCTATAACTTAAAACAACTCACTGTCATTTGTAAATCTTACTAACCCAGTATGCTTATAAGATCGTTAGGTACATAAGCTCAAGCAATGGCCTCACAAAGGCTGCAAGAAGAATGTGGTTAGACGAAGGCCAGACAGCCACATGACACCTGATGGAAGATCATGGTGGACGGACAAACGAGTGACAGAGAAAAACAAACCTTTAACTGTCAACAGTGTTCACCTTATAAACTAGGACTTGAAGTGCAAAAGAGAGAGCGGCTGTGAGCTGAGGTGAGCCTTGATTCATGGAGCTTTTATATGCAAAGATGAGATGAGGGTAAGCGTTGATGCGTTATTCCCCCCCCCATCATCAAGATGCAGCTGTAGTTGGGAGGTTGATCGTACCGTCACATTCATACATGTGGCCTTCTGGGATTTTTTCTGTGTTCCTTCCGTTTTCCCCAGTCAGTGGCATATTGCTGAAGTCATGATATAGCTCATTAGCTCCAAGCTAATTGCTTTTCCCAGTGTGATGGATCCACCCACCCTCACCCCCATGTTCTCTTGCCATCTCATGCCACACACACACACACACACACAAAAAAGATGTGCGCATTGGCAGTGTTATGCAGGTACCATCCATGGCTACAGAGATGAACAGATAATCAAACCATTAACCAATTTGTTTTCTGTTGACTCATCACTTATTTGACTATTCAAGTGGTATTTCTGAAAAGGAAACGCTTTGCAGCAACCTCCCCGAGAGTAATGCTCTGTCACGTTGGCTTTTAAAGCAATGTCAGGCAACGAATACAATCGGCCTGGTAAACTGAAGCATTCATTACTCTGCCGAGGAAACAGTCGAGCAAATCTTGGCAACAGATGCAGAAAGCAAACTGCATCAGCAAAGAGGTGAAGCGGCCACAAATCAAAGCTCGGAGCTACACACTCAGCACAGCTTACGAATGGTGAGATTCACAGAGATGATCCTTACTTACAGTGAGGCTGCCAGTCACCAACTCTGGCCAATTCATATTGGACTTTTGTAAAAATTACAATCTCCAAAATCCTCTGTTTGACAGGATGTCCTCATCAGAGTGACCACGACCATTAGAGCATTTCCTACATGAACTGTTAATAAACCTGCCCTCCCTCGATCTAGTTTATTCATTCAACACCGACATTTATGGCAGAGCGAGATGGAAACAGATCTACGAGGTAGAACAGGACTAGGGATGCACTGATACCGGATCAGATGTCGGGCCGATATCGACTCAAATAGCTGGGTCAGGTATTGGTAACAATGGAGCTGATCTATTATTAAATACTGTACACAATATAGACTGGAATTTGACTTCCTGTTCAAGTTCTGACCCATTTGTTGATTTTATGATCATTCTAATTTATGATTTTAAAAATAAACAAGGTTCCATTAATTGTATATCTATATATTTATTAAAGTTAAGCCAGATGTTGCCTTACTTATCAGAGAATACTCCCAGTCACTTCCACACATTGAGGCATACGGCCTTTCAATTAAACACTGGTGTTGGATCGGGACTCGGTATCTGCCAAAACCCAAAGGCAAAGCGTCGGTATTGATATCAGGACTGAAAAAGTCACGCTTACTAAACAGCATCAAGTTAAATTCAGCCAACACTAATACAAACACCAGCTCAAGTATCAAAAGGTCACTGCAAGCTGCGGCGGCACGTTGTAAAAGTTGAACCGTCTTAAACTCTGAACAGCTGTGTGTGCCGCTGTCGCTGCCACCCTTGGCGGTGGCTCGCTGATGTCTGAAAGCACCTTAAGTGTCACTCTTATTTACCAGTGTCTCCTGCAACAACAGCTTTTTTAAAACATAATGTAGAGGGAGGTCTGACTGATAAAGAACTAAAGAGGAGGAGGTTATCTTAAACATTCATCTGGCTACGTCAGTCTTATTAGATTCAGGCTGGCAAGCACTCCACCCACTGCAGAAATCTGTAGATTAACTGGAAGGGACTTTTTCTTTGGGAACAGATTCTTCTTAGCTGATCAGTTTGGCAATGCTGGTACCAAGACTTGCCAATATACAACACGCACATGCACACGGCATTTCTCTGGCCAATAACAAATTTTAGTCATTTTCGCAGAGGGCCTCTTTCCTGTTTTATGGCTCCAATAGGATCAATCAAGCGTAACTTGATCCTCATCTCTAATCTCCTTCCGTCGTCGTCAATGGTCTGGGGGAAGCCCTTTAACATGGGATGTGGTTTAATAGGATAATTCTATTATGGATATCCTGATCAATTGCGCTGGATTGACTCGAGGGTTCGGCTGCTGGGAATGCTGAAGAAGGTTCAACACAATGTGCCACAAAGCCAATCTTGTTCTCATTTCACTTTGCTATGAGCCCAATTTTAATAAATGAGAAAAGAGAGAGTGTCTTATCTTCCCTTCCAGAATCCAAGGTACAAGGCAGACTGATTATTTTCAGGGCCACTCCCTCAGTGGCAGGACAGGAAGAATGACTCTCTCTCTGCTTCAGGACGTGAATCCATTAAGGGTTTCACTTGGGTCTTTCCTTGTGGTGTCATAGTGAGTATCACAATGACACAGTGTCTATGTGGATCTTTGGGAAAAACCCCTGTGGGGCTAAACTGACAGAATGCTACAGCAATTAAACTTCATTAATGAATTCACTGAAGGAGTCTAGAGGTGGCAGCATTCTGCAGCTGCAGCACTCTCTTGGAAACATTTTCCCGATGTGACCAGTGGTCTCTTTTTCTCAAATTTATTGTAAAATCTGCAAACCGGTTTTATCTTTGAATCATTAAAAAAAAAATGTAATTGCAGTGTTATCTTACCTATGCCATGTCGAAACAGGTGAAGCCTGTTTTTGAATGAATGAAAAGGTCTTTTATGGGGGATAATTGGGATATTATTCCTTTGAGAGGTTGAAAGAGGAAACAAATATTCAGCCACAGAGCGAATCAATCAGGCTGCTTTGTATTTGCTATGTTCAAATCCTCAAGCCTGGGTAAGGTTAGCCTTCTGTGTATCATTTGTGTGCGTGTGTGTTCCCTGCTGACATCCAATTTTACTTTCAACATAGGGTGCCTTTCTCTCTCGCTCTCTCTCTCTCTCTCACACACAGATTTCACAAACTATGCCACCTCATGCAGTTCTGGAGAGTCAGCCAAATGATAGTAGGACACTAATGAGGTTGCTGGCAGATCATAGTGTACTGTGTCAATATCACAAGTGTGCCTAACTTTTTCCAACTTTAAGATGCTAAATTGTAGAAAACATGTTGGATTAGTTTACGCCGAATCATGCGACAAGAACGTAAATCCTCTCTACATCTAATCTAAACCCGTCTCCGACAGCACATCAAGTAAAACAAAGGTTGTTTTTTTTTTGTCTCAACGAGCCAGAAAAAAGCACTCAAATCCAAACTGTCCTGAATTATACAACAAACTCTAGTTTAATGAATGCACTGTCGTGAAAGCGTGGCTTCCCATCTGCTGGAGAGTAAAAGCATGAAGAGATAAAGGGCCATGGGTTGACGGAGCTTAACAAAGCAAGCATTAGCGGCAGCAATGATTTCCAGTGTTATTGGAGTTCGTTCCAAAGCTTTGATTTCTGGGAAGTTGAGGCTATTGCGTCACCAGGAAAGGCTGTACAGCTCTGGAGAAAAATGGCAGCTACTTTCTACTTTTAACTGCTGTGATTGAAACACCAACACAAACTAATAAGCATCTTTAAAAACTCTGCTCTGAGTGTATTACAAAGTGGGATTCTTGATTTCTTCAAATTCCTTAGATGGAGCAAAGAAAAGGTGAAGGGAACTTACTTTCTCAGATGCTCATGCTCCTTCAGAAACATCTCTGTTCTTCTGTTGTTGACCCCGGAGCCACTCTTGTAGGACCTGAAAAAGGGGAAACGCAGACGCAATGGTAAAAACAACACCGTCACAAATTAAAAGAAGGTTATGCTACAATATTTGCTATTTGTTTTATCTGACACTGATGATTCTTGTCTGTTCAAATCAGTGCACGCAGGAATCAAATCGCTCAGACAAAGAAGTATCTGAATGGCATCAAAACCTTTTCTGTCGGTCCAATGCATAAAATCCAAATTTAATTTGAATTTCAGGTAATGCAACACAATAGGAAAAATCTGTCAGTCTTTATCTACACAAGCTCTTTGAAGTCGGCCATCCCACTGAACATTGGGGACCTATTGGCATGGTAAAAGATGTGGTGGAGCCTTACTGGTTCACACAAACTGCAAACACAAGCGGCCTAAAGCTCTTTATCCAACTAGCTCACTGCGGAAACTTATTCTTTTACTATTTATTGCAATATTTCATCCGAGCCATTGACAAAAAGCACAAGCAGAACTTGTGTGGACCAATTATTTTTTAATCAAATTGCAAGTCGGCACCAATACCACTGCATTTACGCTTTACAGTAAAAGCCCTCTTGTGGTTCACCAATGGAAAGCTTTTAATGTGAAGAGGGCAGCGGCAGGAAATATATTCGCTTTGCATTAGCAGTAACTTAACACAGCGGATTCAGCACCGGTATGGTTGCAGTAGAGCTGATAAGAAAACAGACCGTTAATGACTGGTTAAAAGTAAGGACGGCGTGGAAGGAGTGGAACGAACCACCGCACATTTACACACAAGCTTCTACCGTTATGATAGCTGATCCACTGCATGGTATGTTGAGCCGATTAGTTTACTGCAACAACACAACATGGAAGGGCAGCGATGACCATCTTCCTGTGGTAATTCCCTGCTATGAAGCAGCAATTAGAAATGCCTAAAAACCACAGCTCTGCATGCTACAACACAGCTAAAAACATCATACTGGGCAGTGGGAAAGGGCCAAAGCCTGACCTATTACAAAGCTATCTGGTAGTAAATGGATGGGTTGTTAAACCACTCACAGAGCAAACACATCTCTCTCTCACACACCTGCATCAGCCTATCTGTGACAGTATGAGCGGTCCAAGAACATATGTGCCTACTTCATCCCCAGAGCGCCATCCGACGCCGCTGAATGGAAAAACCACATTCAGTGCACACGCAGCACGCTCCATAGCGGCTACCTTGAACGCCCCACCGGCAGAAGCTGATGCCTTTGCGGGGCTAGAATTGCCCACACTGACAGCTCGCTTCATCACTCCAGCAGGTTTTTTTTTTTTTGTTTTTTTTTTAAAAGGGCACTGATGTAAATCAGGAAAGCTGTCATTGTTGTTGCTGACATTTAGAATCAAAGCAGGAGGAGAGAGAGCTGCACCAGTCTACTGCTATGAGTGGTGCAGCTGTGCGTGCACATGTGTGTGTGTGTGTGAGAATATGTTTTGTTGACAGAGTCTGCAAGTACATAGAAAGATACCGACACAGTTGCCTACATGCTCTAGCTCTCTACTGCCCTCTGTCTGACAAATGGGACAAAAGGCTCAGCTGCAGCAGAAACGGCCATCACTGCATCACCGTTTAGCTTTCCAAACACAACTTAAACTGCATTATCTTACATACGACATTAAGTCGTTGTTATGATGAAAGTTCTAAACTAGGCTGCTCCAGCCCAAGAACTGTGATCGAGGATTTTCTCCGTACGCACCTCTGAAAAGATCAGACGAAAAGTGTCTCAGTGATATCACGTTAGCTGATATTTTAGTTAAACCTCATCAGATGCATTACAGGCAAGGCAGTTCAACAGATCCAAGTGTTGAAAAACAACAGGCCGTCCTTCCAGCTGTCCAGGATCGACTTTCTCCCGTAGCCCACCAGCAGCTGTAACTCCCCAACCTGTAAGCTTCAGACGGTTCTCTCATTAGCGGCCCCCGGGCACATTAGTCATCGTTAGCCTGAGCAAATGGGTCAACAAGACTCGAGGCTCATTTCTATGCATTAGATTCATCAGCAGCGAGCCCATTAGTCAGGTCAGTGGCACTCCTTAGAAATGTGATTTAGTGGGAAGATTTGGGGGGGGGGGGGCTGGGCTGTTGCATGTAGTGCTGACCTCATGGGATGGAACTTACATGGAGGCACAACTGTTGATAGCCCGCTATACGTATATTCCCCAAATCCCATGTATACAAGTAAGTTTATGATTACACCGATATAACCTTAGCCAAATACCAATAGGAAGAAAACAAAGTATTTAGTAATACAAGAACGGACAAGTTCTTATGAACGAGACATCTTTAAATGGGTTTATGCGTGAGAAAGATGTACGATACAAAGTGACGATGAGGCCTATGGGATGTGTAGGACTGTACGATGCATCCGCAGGCCATCTGCATACTACATTAGATGGATGGAAAGTCAATAGGAATCCTGCAGTGCTCACCGTACGCTCACTGCTGCGTCTTACAGATCAATAAGCCATTACAAAAAAAACACAAGAGTCACGGTTTGTAGGAGCCTCCATCTCATTTCAATGCGCTCCCTCAGAGCCGAGCCAATCGGAGCAGAGGACACACTTTCTCAATTCGAGGCCAGAGAGGCCGTGAATCTTCTTTGGTTTTAATGGCCGACATTTTTCAAAAGCAGGCCAGGTGGAAGTCAAGGTTCAACTATCCCTCTAAGGAATAAAAAGGTCCACCACATAAAAACACTGAATAATGCTCGGCAGTTTCTATTCCTCCACAGCCACTAAGATCAAACACAAAGCAATGCATCACCTGACAATATTATTTGTTTTGTATGCAATACCATGAACAGCTTCAAGGTGTGCGTTGGCTCCGACTCCTCGTTTACTGTACCTTCAGCAGTCAATACAGTTATCAATAGTTATGTGCATTGAAATTGGTTTTACAGTGTCAATAAACTACAGAGTACATATTCCCATAACTTTGGACACATGCTGGTGAATGACCAGCACGGTCAATTTAATCAAAAAGGTGGTGCGACCGGTTACTCACTCAATGTCTTTCCTGACAGAACCAAGCAGGTCTTCCCTTTCCCTGATGGCCAAGAAGTTGCCTTTGGTTTTATGGAATTCATGCGTGTAATCCTGCATAAAAAAAACAAATCAAAGAGACAATGAAGAAGGGGGTTGAGGAGGAACACACAGTGAACACCAAGAGGACTACATGGAAACACTGAGGCATGTGTGCTTCACAAAGTTGTTGTGTTTTACAGAAAACAAAAAGACATGTAAAGTAGAATATATAGAGTACATCAAATAGATGAGCAAACCTGCAGGATGTCTCTGTGTCTCTGGAGCGTGTGCATGAGTGCAGCGTTGAGAGAAGCTGTGCCCGGGGTGTTGGTGTACTCCGCCATCTTGTCGTTCACTACAGTCAGCTGACAGAGAGATGGAAATTGAATTGATTGCCAGATGGAGCGGGAAGACATCAGGGAGAACAGGAGAGCAGCAGATACAAGGTAAAGACTCACACAGAATACAAACACAAACAACACGTGTCAATTCAAGGATGAACACTTTATATCAAAGGGATGTCTTTCATGCCAAATAGACAAATGATACAAGGCATTATTGGGATAACTGCATCGTAGCATTTTGAGATTAGAAATGCACAATATTACTATCAAAATGTAGCCGTTGTTTTTGACTAATACCTCTTGTAATTGTGTCGAATGAAAAACTTTAGTTGAACGGAGTCGAATACAATAAAAGAACTTTAGGGTCCAATGCAAACCAATGTGAAGAAGTGGAGCCTGCAGTCCGCTCTCTCCTTGACGGAAGACAAGACCCTTGGCATAAATCCAGTGCTTTTCTTATTACAGTCTTTCTGTTGACCTTCTACGGGCCGCTGGCCCATGAGAAGTGACTTACTTTGGCCAGCAGCTGTTCAATCTCCACTGACATGGTGTCAAACATCCTGTCTTGGGTTGAGTTGTTGAGCAGTGGGGTAGTGTCCGACCTTGAGGAGGAAACCAAAGAATGGAGAACAATTAGAGAGTTGTTTGTTTTGCTGGTTTTTATGTGTGACTTCACATATCTGTATATGCTTATGTGATGAATCTTGCGCACTTGTGTTTCAAACTTTTGTTTACCAAATGACATAAATTTTCCTCCAAATGAAAATACATGTTGAATTAGAAATGACCCACTATTAACTTTAATAAGTAATGTTCATGTAAAATATTTTAATAACACAACCCACGTAGGAAGGACGTCAGACATTCCTCTGGGAAACAGACACTACTCCCCCCATACACACATCCTAAGTGTGATTGATTATTTAGCATGGATAGTTCATGGATTTCTTAGCTGGTGATGGTTTAGATGGATAGATAGATACTTTATTCATCCCAGGGGGAAATTTGTTTGTAGCAGCAGTAAACGAAGTTACAGAGTAAACATAAAAATATGAAAGATGTTCAATATATACAATACAATAAGATAACAGAGCAGAATATAATACATTTAAAGAAAATTTCAAGAAAATAAAAAATGCACAGTATATACACAATAAAATAGAATGGTATTAAATTAACTAACTAAAAAACACTAGTGCATGCAAGGATCACCAACAGCAAACAACAACAGTGTAGCAGTGTTGTAGTCAATTGAAGGACGATCTGGCCAGAGGTGATTTGTTATAGTCTTATTGCAGTGGGCAGGAATGTTCTCCTGTATCTGTCCTTAGTGAGCGTCTCATGTGAGGATGCATCAGTAGAATTGTACACTGACTGGCGTCAACAAAGAATGTTTTATAGACTGTTTCTAGAGAAGTTATTTTCAAGAAATGAAATTTAAGGTGAGCTAGAGCTCAAATTTGCATCCCTTTAGCTCACAAGCAGTGGCTTGATTACAAAAAGAAACTAAAAGTGAACTGGTACTGCTAATAATAAAATCTCCTTAACTTACTAGTGTAGCTAGAGAACAACAGCCTTTGTGTTGGTATGGATTCAATGTATTGGTATGGATTCAATGTATTGTTCATAGACACTTCCTTCCTGCAGCCAACCCTTTCCTGTGAGGGTAAGCGTCCACACACACATCCAGTGCCTCTGACCACTACAACTACTAGGCCCCTTTTATGATCACTTTTTTAAATTCTCACTAAATCAAGGACACTTCAAAATGTCAAATAAAATTGTGGGGAAAAAATGCCCATTGTTCTTTCCAGGAACCCAAGGTGACATCTTTAAGTTCTTTATTTTTGTCAAATACAACAATAAATATACAATCCAATGATATTAAATTACAATCATACATGAAAAAGAAAAGCAGCAAACCCTTTTAGAAGCTGGAACCAGAAACGTTTGGGCATTTATACTTGAATATACAAATGTGTTCTTGCTTTGATTTACCAAGTAAAGAGCAGTGTGACGTGCTGCGTGTACTTAGTTAACTCTACAGGTGAGACGGATCTTACGTGTCTCCTCGACGTCCATCCCTGGAGCTGCTGTAGCTGGTGCACAGTTTACTGAAGGAGACCAACTTCAGGTCGAGTTCATTCTCAAACTGTCTGGCCTGCTTTCGCAGATCTGTAACACACACACACACACACACACACACACACACACACACACACAGAACAATTAAGCGCTTAACGACGGCTCATGTTAGTTTAATGCCACAGCCATAAGCAATGGCATCATGATTATAGAAACGCTTTCTTCCTAGTACGTTAAGAGTGACATGAACGTAGTAGCTAACTTACATAAACCGAGGGAAAACATAAACAAAACACCATCTAATGGGTGTGACAGCTGGCACAACGGCCTCTCAATGTGTGTAGTTGATGAATCGTTTAGAGTGGCGACATGAATTTAACTCAACAGTTACAGAAATAACGTTGATTTGCATGGCGACATGTTAGCTAGCTTGTTGGGAGCTAGTCGTTGTAGAGACACGTAACGTTATGTGTTCAAAACACAGATGTGAGACAAACGCGCCGACAGCGTCAGGTTAATTGTTGGAAGTGTGAAAACTGTAGCAGCTGTTGCTTTACATTCCGTTTTCTTAAATCGAGTCCCTCTTACCTTCCCAGTAGTTGCTGCCTCCTATTCCTGACATCTTTGTTGTCCTGCGACGTCACCGAGTTCCGGGCTGGGTGTGTCACGTGTCAGAACAAGACGTTCCACTGACACGAAAAAATATAGGGGTGTTTTTATCGCCCTCAGCTGAGCCTCTCAGGCAACACACTCCTCAGGATCCACCAGGCTCCACATATAACAGCCAGCTAATACAATATAAACAGCGCCACCTAGAGGTCATTTGGGATCCCACAGTAAGTTTCAAACAATTAGTTACATTATGGGTTAACTTTGATATATCATGCAGATACACAATATATTGTAGATTATATGTATACCGTCAAATTGTGTGATAATTGATGTAAATTTTGTGTTTTTGTACTGTTAAACCCCTACGAGAAATGTTTAATGTTTGCATCATATAGGAGTTTTAAAAAAAAACAATTTGTTTATATTTTTTAATAGACGTAGCACGCACACCATTGCCTAGTTGGTCAAATGAACAACATCAATATTTTATTAATATTGTATTAAATAATACAAGTAACAGGATGTTTGGTTTTACTTGTGCAATTTTGATTCAATGCATCACACGTTCCCAGTATGGCCTCCTTCTTTCTCGCTGTAATAAAACACTTACAATATCAAGATTTCATAATGTCACTCTGATTGTAGTCCCCCTATGTTGGAAAATTATCTGCATTTTCATAGCATTTCTCAACCTTCATACCACACAATTCACTTTACTTTCACTCACACATGTACAGGTATATATTCACACATTAGCCATCAGGGGAAATTTTGGTTTCAGTGTCTTGCTCAAGGACACTTTGACATGTAGAAAGGAGCAAGCGATCGAATCACCAACCCCTGCCTGCAATTAAATGACGACCCGATTGACCCGATGAGCCACAGTGTCCTCCAATCTCCCCAATTATTAGAAATAGCACAATGCTAAAGAAAAGAGAGGTTCAGAAGTGTTTCATTCAATGGTTTTATGAGTTGTTGTGCATTGTTAGCATGTCATGATCACACAGAGGTTTTTATTGGGATGTTTTGTGTAAATTAATGGTTAACATGAATTGCATTTATTTTTCCATTCTCATTTGTCAAACATTATGTACAGTTGATTCCAGTTCATATAAAATCTTCACACCAACACTGTGACCCCAACACACACTCAACTTTCAAAATTCATACACACGCATCCACAGACACAGTATAAGAAAGAAAAATTATGTACAAAACTGTCTCTCTACGCAGACAATTTTTTTTACTGATGACCGCTGCATTTGATAAAAAGGAAAAGAATCTCCCCTCGAAGCAATTGGAAATCGAGGCAAATTCTTTCGTGAAGAAGAGTCTATTACTTCAAAAATTGTGATGAGAAACATGCACGGCGTTCCCAGGAGCCACCTTATTTTAATGATCCAGTGCATCAGTTTTAATTAGACAGAAATATTTACACAGATTTCTGATGCAAAGAAAACTACATTTGGATTGTTTTGATATTTCAATTCAAATTCACCAGGAGATGCTTCTAGTTAAATCTGCATGTTGGACAAGATTACCAACACAAACCTGCTCCCTAGATTTGTCGATATACCCCAATTAAACATTGTCATCCAATGAGAAATGAGCTTCTTTAACAGACAAGAGAAATGGCAAATTACTGTATTATTTAGCACCGGACTATAATGTTCTCTTTATCCTTGTTTTCTTCGTGTAGCTGGATGGCTCCGACGTTGATTCATTGACAGTGATCAGTAATAGAAAGACAACCTAGGAGATGTTTGCTCTCCAATGTATTGTTTAGTGGGAGAATAAACACGAACACAATGAAAAGAAAACATAATTGATATTTCTTTTTATGAGACATGGTGAGAATGCACATCCTTGATAAAAACAGGGCACACACTCAACTCTCCATGTAGACAGTTTGAAATTAACCTACAATAAACACAAAAAGGGGAAAACAACAAATACATTATTTTTTATGATTACATATAAAAACTCTGTTTTTGGCCAATGATATGGGACAATCCTTGCTTTCCATTTAGTGCAAGTGACCTCAACGCATACATCAGAGCACCCCGCACTCACTGGGGAGGGTTTCATTCAAGCATTTCATTGGTAACAGATTCCCCCTGAAGCTCAGAAGCTTTTGAGAAGCTCACTCCCATGATGAGGATTGATCGTGGCCACAACATTGACTCACTGGGAAAATACAAAACTACTGAACCAAGACCGGACAGCCTTGAGTCACCTGTGCAGAAACAGTGCAACACTGACAATTCAGCAGTCCTTTAAATCATAAGTTCTCTCTTTTCCTACCACCTGAGTATAGGAGGGATCAAATATTATCTATTCACTATGTTGCTGCTTCGCGTCACATACTTCAGCCCGACCGGACTGTAAACTTTATATAGAAGCCAAGGCACAGTGTTGGATTCAGTCTCCCAAAGGCTCGGACACTTCAATGTAGCAATGCTGTCTCGGATAGAAGAAACGTATAATTTCCCTGCTCAAAGCTGTATTTGAAATGAATGCATGGTATCAGATGGGAGATTGTGTGAAATTAAGCACTTCCATTCAGACTTCATTGATCATCCTCTATAAAAAAAAAATAGAGTGAATTAGGACTTATCAGCTGGAACCCCTCAGCCAGGCAGGACAGGTGGTGATCTATAAGAGCACTATTGCGTGGCTCAGAAATGAAAAAGCGGTGGAACTCAAAACCTGCTTTAATGATGGATGAGGGCCACAGTGGATCAAACGTTTACTTCTCTCCCTCTTTTATCGCCTTCTCTTTGTCTATTTCTCCTGATCCAGTCAGGTAGAGATGGAGCAAGCCTTTCAGTCCAGACGCCAGCAGGATGCTCTTAAAGAAATAATTTAGTAGCACTAATAACCGAGTGACTGGGAGTGAGTCCTTGTTGTTATAACGGAACAAAAGAGTCTTTATCGCTCTTGTATTTCCGTCATAAAAAGAGAGACAGAGACGCTGTCTAGAGTTCAAACTGTTCCTTGTTGGGTAAATTTAAGGGAGAGATCAAAATAAAAAACACTGAGCCAACACCCAAATTCGTGCAATGGTCCTCAGATTTTGTTGTCATACAGTGTCTCCTCGTCGCTTTCACTCTCGTCCTGAAACTCATTGGCAAGCAGCGACTTCTTGGAGCCCATGGAGGTGAGCCGGATCTCATCGTCGTAGTCGTCTCGGTGCTGTCGCAAGCGGTGGAAGCCATCTTTTTGACGGTTAGACTTGGCGGCACACACACACCAGATGATGCACGCCGTCACCACTAACGCCGTCATGGAGGCTGCTGCAAGGAAGAAAAGAAACGTGCAACTCAGCACGTCTGCTTGCATGCGCACACCGTTTCTAGCCAAGAGACCATTTAAATACTATCACACAACACTTGAATAATGAGATTTTTGTTTTGATGATTAAGCACACTAAACATAGGACTGTCCTCCATAAGTGTCTATGACAAAGGTCATGCGAGAAGACACTGAATACAGTGTCGACGAAGAAAATTCCTTCGTGAAAACTAGTTAGGAGTCTTGGTTCCAACTGCTCATAAAAACACTGAAAAAGAGAGGAATTGTGTACTTCAACAGCAGTTAAAACAAAGGAAATCGTGTGTGTGTGTGTGTGTGTGTGCGCGCGCGCGTGCGTGTGTCAAAGATCACAAGACTAACAAACTAGATGTAGTCAAAAAACACTTATGGGGGAGATTTTTTATTTAACCTTTATTTAACCAGGTGAAGTCCCATTGAGATTAAAAATCTCTTTTTCAAGGGAGACCTGGCCAAGAGAGGCAGCAACAGAAGAAATACATAGTTACAGACAGAAAACACAGAACAAGACAAGTTAAAAGAAATTAAAAGTTGAGACAGTGACTTAACCGAGTTAATTTAAAAAACATTGACATTTTTGGGAACCTGCCTCTATTTCTTTCATTTTAGATTTAAAAGCAGTGAGTGGCATCAGTTCAAATTTTCACAAATCACATTTGTTTAATTTTGAGACGTATCACTAGCAAGATTTGCATCATTATGTGGGCCGATCACATCATGCATATAGTCAACACTGGTTTCTAAAGTCCTTTTTATAGACATGCTTACCTGCACTGGCCACCACAAACTCTCTGGGCAGGCCAAAGATGCTGTTGTCCATGTCAAACACAATGATGATGGAGCTAGCAGCTTCATAGGAAGACACCACCACCTGCAACACAGCACAAATCATTCAGTAGGCCTCTGAACCTTCCTGAAACACCGTCACATTCCATCAATGCTGAGATGATTTACAGTAAAACAGAAACTGAAACATCAGAAAACTGAAACATCAGAATCAAGTTACTTGTTTGTTTTGTGTGGTAGCCGCTGAATATAAACTGCTTTGCTAAACTTATCTTCTTAGCTAACCTTTTGACGTCACTCAAAATGCAACATGAAGACAACATCAAGCTCTACCACATCATAAACAGAATCATCTCATCCATTCGGTCCGTTTCTCTAAATCGAGGTGGAAGCCATTTAGCTGTCTGCCAAAGCTCCCTACTTAAGTGTGGTTGTTAATTACCTAATCAGCAAGCCTCCCTTACAGGTGTGACTGCTTAGTATAATCTGGTGCAGGTTGTGTTGAATGTCTAAAAAAGGATTTGAGTGCTGGCTCATCTAAATCCTAAATTAAACGGCTATTTCCTGAGAGGTAAATCACTGGAATCTCTTTCTGTAACTTGCTTGACTTTTCTCCATACCAAGTGTCTCTTATTTTTTCAGCGCCATTGTTCAAGTGCAGTTAAAAAAAAAAATGGGGGAAACTAGACCAAAAGGATTTCAAACCATGTGGTTTCAGACCTGATTCAGTAATGTGGCCTGAACACGCAGCCAAGAGTTGTTGGCAAAGAGTAAGTGCACCTCTTTATCCTAATTTCTCTCCTTGTTTTTAATTATCAACATGGGTCGCTGGTAGTTTTATGGACAGTATGACACAGAATAGCCAACAGAGGAACTGAATCCACTGAAACTAATGTCACTTTAATTTCCAGAGGAATGAAATGCGTCCCTATGGTCTACGGCGGAGTATTCGATGTCCTAAGAAATATGGGGAGACTATTAAAGAGAGGAAATACATGTTGGCCACGAGTTACGATTTGGACCTTTTGTGTGAGCAGAGCGAAGCAGACCCCCAGAAACCCCTGGATGACAAGTATAAAAGGAACGCTGCCGTTCTTCCGGATCTCAAACTGCCCGGCAGCGATGGAGCCCTCACTACTGAAGAGAGGACCTCCGGCAGCTTGTCAACTCGCCAGCCGGGACCTCTGATGATTCACGGCTTCACAGTACCAGAGTACCAGCAGACGTATCATTCAGTGGTGGATCCCCTGCTCTTAAGGCCTTGCGGGAAGCTTGCAGCCTACAGTCTGAAGCTGGGCAGAAACATTAAGGAACATCTGTTTGAAGAGCTGGCCTACCCCACGCTGCAAATTTCAGAGCAGTCAAATGGAAAGCTGGAGCTGATGGAGAGATTTTGTGTGCTCCGCCCGACACCTTTCATAGATATAGACAGAAATGGGGAACCACAATAATATCCTCTCACTAACCTTCTATGATACGAGTGTACTATTTATTATTATTTGTCTCTTGATACAGTTTTCATTTTCCTTGAAATGTAAAGTAGCAGCTGGATTTATATTTCAAATGTTTACTGAAAATAAATAATATTTCTCACAGTTTAAAAAAAAAAAAAAACACAATTATGCAATACCTACGAAGCCAAAATGAATGCTGCATTTGGGTTTGTATCTGCCTAAGTGCTCAATACACCAAATCATTAGTTTGTACTGTTTGTGTATGATCACCGCCTGTTCAACAGGTCACATGTGGTTGCAACTGATGCACAACTGCTTTCAAAGACTCGAGCATAAAAATCATGCTGAAAACCAGAGATTGTAAGTCTCTTCTTCTACTTTAATTATCATCCACATTCAAGGCTCATCTTCAAAATTGTCATGTATAATAATGTAAACATTTTTAAAGGCTCATCACATCTTTCGTATGCATTTCAAGTGATCATAATGGAAAAGAATAATTAGACGCTCTACTTTGATTTACTTGTTGTAAAGTGTTGTCCCGTCATCCTAAAGGCTAGTACATCCCTTGACGGTATAATACATGGTATGAATACAACTGTGTACCTCTTGACGTTGTTGTTGGTAGCCATCAGCAACGGCTTCAATGTTGTGGTTGCCAGGAGCCAGCAGAGCATGAAAGTAGCCGCCCTCTGCAGTAAAGACTCTCACTCCCCCGTTCAGTACAATGATCGCCCCAACAATAGGCTTTCCACTCTTGTCCCGCACCACGCCACGCACCCCTTTATGGACCTGGGTGGGGTAGAAATGGAGGGTAAATTAAAGGCTGTAAAAATCTTAAATCCTTAATTTCAGAACAATATATGTTAGATATGTCATGAAAACACTTCCTTTCTTCTTTTTTTTTTTTTTTTTTTTTTTTTTTAAAGCTAGAGCACTCACTGTTTTAAGTTTCCATACTGCTACATTACTTTTTGAAAATATCTCATTTAAAAATCGGTTACAAAGGTAAACAGGTCATACAGTTCATATTATATATTCACGTCGCAATGAAAAACAAGTCCATTAAACAAACTCCATGTTGTGCTGATTACATCTGGCATCATACCTCCACCAGCATGCTTAGGAGGGCCTTCTTGTTCTCAGCCCAGAGTGTGGGCAGCTGCTCAGCAGGAGGAAACAAACAGCAGCCGCTATACACGGTGATCTCTGGACAGTGACCAAAGTCCATGCTGAAGTCCTGGTAGGACACGAATACACAAGAGAACAAATGAGACATTATTGGGGCAGAAGCCCATTTCTGGCTTTGCTTTATGAAATACTATGTAGTGGCAGCATGGACGCCAACTTAACTGCAATCACAGACACTGTAGTGGAGAGACTTACCTTCATGCTCCCCATGTGACTTTGTCTCTCTGCTGCCCTCATAACTCCATCTGGGATGTTGCCCACTGAGTCACAGAGAAGTTCCGTTAGGTATTAATAGCGATTCAATACCAACAAGACAACGGGGTTTATTCTTGGCACTTAAATTACATACTCTGCCCATTATTTGAACATCCAGTGTTCCCGAGGTGCATCTTAGGATGGTTGTTGGCGTAAACACTTGCCAAGTACTTCAATGTGCCCTCATTTTCAACTGAAAAAAAAAAAAGTACATAAAACCACAAGGCCAAACAGCAATCAGTGATGAGATGGCGCATTGTTTGTCGTACTCTTTGCAAATTGTAAGCTGTGAAGAAACCTACCAGGCTGGACAGGCTTGTCATAAGGGTAGGTAGCAACAAGGGAGCCTCCATCAAGAGCAACAGACAGAGTGTAGGTCTTGTCTAGAATCAAGTCCATCATGGCTCTGGTCTCTGGTTGGGCCTCCACCACACGCTGTGACGCATTGCCTAAAAAAAAAAAAAAAGGAGGAAAACAGATGGTGGACAGGAAATGTTAGAGCAAACTTAGCGTTTTATGGCAAGTGTATGTAGAAAGTGCAATGACATCCATTTGTGACATTCACCACAAATCTTTCACAATTGCAGTGTGAATTAATTGATTCAATATTTTTTTTCTTTTATCTTTGTATCTCAATTCAATTGCACACACACACACACACACACACACACACACACACACACACACACACACACACACACACACACACACACACACACACACACAACTGACCAAAGAAATCTGTGTCCAGATCTTTGCCACGAGCATTGTTCAAGCCCTGGATGGAGGTGCACTGCTTCTCAATAGCCTGTTCTCGTCCATCTGGGTTGATAGAAGGCACGATGACAATCCGGGTCTCATTGATCAGCTATGGAAGGGAAACAGAGAATGAACAAATACAGACATGGCTGAATCTTATACTATATTTACTGGGACCGGTAACGGTACAAACTGAACCCAATCGCAGATATGAAAGGTTTTAAATAAGTTTAATTCCAGGCTATCAATGTACAATATTTCCTGAGACCCTCCAAAACTCACCCTGGTGATGACTGGGTTTTTGCCATAGTTGATACACAGGAGGGCAGCAAACTCCAGCAGCAGTTCTGTGCCCACAGGGGCATTGCCATGGATCCCAGCTACCAAGCGGATCTTGGGCTCAGAAGGTTCAGCTTCCCCTGGTCTGTTGGAGATTTCCAAAGCCCAAATGGTTCGAAACTCTACACTTTGGCCTAAACTGGACACACAAGAGAAGAAACCAGAATATATTATCATTAGAAATAACTTAAGTTGTAAGTAGTTCTGGACAGTATTGACTTGTGGCACACAGAGGATGAGAGATATAGAGGTATGATGTCAAACAGTTATGTATCATTAAGTGGAGATGACACTGGCTGGTTCAAATACCTGTGTAAAGATGTTATTTTGGGAAAGTTAAGTGTGAGGCCTCTCACGAAGCCAGAGAGCTCTTTGTAGCGTCTGTAGCGGAAGCTGTTCTCCGTGGCCGTGCTCCTGACCAACTGCTCCAAACCCTGGCCCAGAGAGAGGTCCTTGATTAAGCTCTGGAATGCCTTCTCAGATGGGTTCTGTGTAGGTTGGGGGCCCTTGGGAGACTGGCCATTAGGGTCTGAGTGAATACGCGTCAGTCTGAAATCCACCAACTCTACATGATCCTTTGAGACTGTGGCGTAGGTCCTCACAGGTTTATACCTGGACAACAGAAAAAGTTAATAGCAGTGAAAATCAGGGGACATAACAGCACAGAAATATGTAGAGAATTCTCCGTTTGGGAAACCAAATCTTACCAATGAGCGGAGGCAGTGATAGAGTAAGTCCCAGGGACCAGCAGCCTCCAGTAGTCTCCAGTGAGAGCTGTGGTGATATTGTGGTCTATCTGCTCCACACTAATGGTGGCATTGGGAATTCCTGTGCCATCCCTAGTGTCAGAGACTGTGCCTTTTACTCCACTGTGAACCTACGGAGACACATTACCATATTAACATGAGTAGATGCAAAATAGAGTATGTAGGGAGAAAGCTCAGGGGAATGTTAAGAGTTTACTACCTGGTGTATAAACTGAAGCAAGGCCCGTCGGTTTTGTTCCCAGTATTTTGGCAATTCTATGCCCACGGGGTACTTCACACAGCCTAGCTCAATGGTCACCTCAAAACAGTTGGTGTTGACGTAGTTCCAGTCCTGCATGCCACCTAAAGAAAAAGTGCTCCTTTAACTTCAAATTCCATTTCAACACACAGTGGTGTTAGTCAAATACCCTGAACTGCCAACAGGCATAGTCAAAATGTGGCAGACTTACTTTTAATATCCACCATGAAATTACAATATTGTGTCCATTGTTGAAGAATCAATAACACTTTAGTCTACAACTACAGTAGCTTAATTTACTTTTACTAAATACCCCTTTTGCAGACAAACCGACTGACTAAACTAGTAAATAAAACATAATAAAAGAGAAGTCCGAATTGGCCAAAGAGGTGTGGGCAAAATTAAAACAATGAATGTGGCGAGCAATCATGGCGTTATGGTGGATTTAGGCTTACCTGCAACATTGTACCAGACGGCACCATTGGTGATGCCATCCTTAAAATATTCCCCACGGTACAGGTTCTCACAAGTGTGTCCACTGTGCATCAAAGGATTCTCCTGCACGCGCATCACACACACACACAAGAAAAAACAACAATGAGTACTGTTGTGGTCAGGTCTTCAAACCTCGTCTTTCCACAGATGTCACAAAAAGCCAGCGGCCTCTCTATGTCAATTATAACATGAAACCACATGCACACATAATTATCCCAGCCTGAAACAGATCCAGTCGGCAAGAGTGTCCAGTTACCTGTGAGTAGGCTCTGGACATCTGCTGAAAGACTTTATCATCAGGCGCCTGGCTGTACTTTGTTATCCCCTCTTTGTCATCATCATAGGGGTAGTTGACGACCAGGGAGCCTAATATTCCACAGCACAAACATTAGACAAACTAGTGAAAAAAACAATTACATCTGTGGTTGAAATATACTTGCTATGCATAATTTGTTTACCTTTCACAATGTAGCCTAATATCTAGACTTAAATGTGGATTCAAAGGCAAAACTTAAAATGATAGCAGTAATCCATTAGGTTTATTGAAGTAGCTTTAAAATCCAATTCAGTGTGAAATCTGCAATCTTTGGCACTAAAGTTCAAAATGAGACCGTACCTCCATGCAGGTTGGCTGACAGCGTGAAGGGGATGCTCTTCATCCAGTTCATCACAGCTATAGTTTCTGGCTGTCTGGGCTCTTTGATGGTAAAAAACTGGTCTGGGAAGTTGCGGTTCAGGTCAAAGTCGTTGCTGTTGTTGCGCCCTTTGTAACCAGCTATATCCCCTGTGAGAGAAAACAATGACTAGCTGTGAGTTACCTACATGTTTCCTTATCTGCAACCACAGCATGTTCCGGCTGATGAGATATGTACACAACCTCAGCTCCACCTCCCCGATACTTCCTGTTACACACCAGCAGCAGCTGTCAGCAAAAAGACACTGGCAGACAGAGGAAGTGCTTTTGGAAATTTCCCCATTCTTTAAAAATGTTCACAGAAGCAAGCTGGTGCAACTAAAGCCATTTAAACCAGCAGATGCAGTATGTAAGGAGATAATATGCAAGGATAGACTACTTCGCAAAGGAAATGAAAAGAACAGCTTATATGTGACAAAATAATGCTCTGTGTACCTCTCAGTATAGCAATATACACTCAAGGAATGTTAGTCAACTGATCAAATTACTGTTCAAAACCAGTCATGTTACATCTTTGCTCATGTATCCAAAGAAATGTAACGGACACCTGTGTGGCCTGTATACTAAGATAATGTTACTAGTCTTAATTCCATACTGTGCAGATAGTGTTACGTTATTGTGTCCCTTACCTTCAGTGGCTACCTCATATCCGTCGGGGTTCATTGAAGGCATGATGTGGATGCGGGTATTGTTGATCAACTGAGTGACCTCCGGGTCAGTACCGTAGTTACGGCACAGGTACTCAATGAGGTTGAGCAATAACTCTCGGCCCACCACTTCATTACCGTGCATGTTGGCTACATACTTAAACTCTGGCTCACCTGACATCGAAACAAAAAAAAGAGTAAACATTTGTATTAATAAATAGCATTAACATAATGGAATGCACACATCACATTTTGAGGAAACATTCTCCATGACGCGTGAATAAAAACTCCTTTAATCAACCCATCTAAGACATACCATGCTCATGGACAGTGGGGTTGTCTGAGATAACCATCACGTAGAGCTCACGGTCTTCCACGGAGCGGCCGATGCTGTAAAGATGGGCAATAGAGGGGAACTCGCTGCTGTACTTGCGCAAGAACAGCTCCATGTCTGCGTAGCTGTGGTGACGAAACTCCTGAGGCTGGATGGGCTGATGTTTGGGTGGAAGTATAGGTGGGTTGCTGTTGCTCGTTGCTTCAGGAACCAACCGGGTCTGGGTGGAGTCAGAAGAGTCGGTAGTGGTGGTGATGGTGGGGAGGTTTGGATCATTGGTGGATGGAATGGCGTATGTAGTCACAGTGATGCCACCTGGGCCCTCGTTGACCACAGGTGCCAAGGTAAAGTTAAGTTGTGTGGCTTTGCCCTCCACGACCACAACACTGTGGACTGTCATTGGTGTGTACCTGTGTACAGAAAAAACAATGCGTGCTTGAGAACTTCTACTCCACCTTAAAGATACCAGGAAGTACCAAAATTAGATGACACAGCAACAACATTTTCTTTTCTTCTCTCTACCAGGAAGTTGTTCACCAATGACTTCCAATGACCTGTGACATATATTGTTCTTCAGAAAGAGAATTACTCTGGAACTCTAAAGAGGAATGCAGCACTTGTGGGTAAATCTGGCTGGGACATTGACGCTGCCCTTCACTTTTTTAATAATCTGTAAGAGCCAGATTACCAATTTTGCTGTGGGATTTGGCAACAAACAGCGATGAATGTACCGCTCTCTGTGCTGTGATCAGTCATTGCAATGATATTTGAAACCTGACAATTAATTATAATGCAACTCTATTTTTTAACAACCTGCTATGCGAAGGAAGATTCAATGGTGTTACTCACCCCGGGGCCACAGCTGTGATGTTGTATGTTCCTGGAAGTAGAAGGCGGTAGTAGTCCCCATGTTTTCCTGTGGTCAGGTTATGGCGATTGCTTGCCACCACAATGCTGACATTGGCGAGGGCAGCACCATTGACGGCCCTTTTCACATAACCATGGACACCTATGTGAACCTGGAAGACAGTGATATTGTAAATACCAAGGGTATCCGGCTAAACTGGAGAAATGGTATGGTAACGGTATCAGACAGGGTTAGATTGTGGCATTGTCCTTTTAAATAAACACAAAAAAAGAAGGTAACATTATTATGAATGCTGACGTATCGTTACTCCTTTTCTTAGTTATGAGATCTACCGTTTCTATGTAGGCTAGTAGGGATTCCCTGTTCAGATCCCATTCCTTATGGAGCTCAGCAGCAGGAGGATATTTGCAGCAGCTCAACTCCATGGTGATTTCCAGACAGTTACCATGCAGGTAGTTGTAGTCCTGCATCCCACCTAGACAACAAGCCAGAAATGTAATGAAGAAATTAGGCTAGAAATGGAACCAGCACATTCAGTCATATGTTATATAATAGAGAAGAATGTGTCTAAAACCAGAAATGAACATGTAAACGTAAAGTAAAATCTTAATCCTAATTTGACCCCATCTTCATCTCTTCGAGTTTACAGATAGCGTTTAATGTGTCAACATGCCGTGGCGTCTGCGGTTCGGCAAACAGAGAGACGAAGAGGAGGGCCCACTGGCCAGCCCACCGCAGCGACAGCAGGCAGCCAGAGACTCCCTGGCTGGACGGTTGCCAAGACCGCCTGCTGGGTGGCTGCAGGAACCCAGTGAATCACTGACCCTTTGTAATAGGGCTCAAATGCTAACAAATAACTCTAGCAAAGCAACCAGCCTCCCACCAGTCAGAGTAAGGAAGCCATCAACCAGGAAACAATGGCCTTTAACTATCTGTGATGCACAACAATGACATGTATTTGACAAAACACCTTAAATACACAACCTCATGACTTTACAATACTCTATAGTACACCACAGTTTTACATGCTTTAGTCAGTGCTTCTTGAAACCTATTTCGTTAAATCTCTATTTCTAATGTACTGCACCATCACTGAACAACCATTGCAAGAAATTCATACTTCTGCACATTTTTTTATGTGTCATATCAACTTGGAGATCTTGCAGTAAAGAAAATGACAATGCATCCCATACAACTGTGGAGAACAGCTGCAGGCTGTAATGTGGTATACGGCTTGGCTCTGAGAGCAGGCGTACCAAAATACACCACAATCACAGATTCCTCCAAGTCGTCCCCGGTCAAACAGCAGCTGGTCAGCGCGAGGGTGACTGGCTGCCAGCTCATTCACTGGACACTGTAAAGGGCAACTTAAGAAGAAATGAAGAGCTCTGAGACGCGTTCCACCAAACTGGTGGATACGAACAGTGACACTAGACAACAGTGACCATGCCCTCTGAGCTTATTTTGAACGTGATAGTGTGTAGAAGTGCGTTGGGGTAATTCATCAGAGGTTTTACCTCTTGTGGTGGCAGCAGATTGCTTTGTCAGCCAAACAAAATGTACCCTTTGAAAAAAATCTCACCTGTTAATGATGAGCAAATAACACTGGATCTAAATCCAGCTGTGACAATCCACCATGACAAACAATACAAACCCTTTTGTCCGGTCACAGGATGTTAGGCGTCGTCCTGAGCCAAGTTACTGCAAGTACTTTGTTCATACGGATCAGGTACCATTTACTTAAAGTAAACACCTCCCATAGCTGCTAACATAGTCTGACAAACACACAGACACACTATGACAGACTCAGCCTTAAATATCCTGTCTATGTACCGGATCCAGGGACACACCCTGGAATTGGAAGGAAACCACCGGCGAGACAATGGAGCCAAAGTCAGAGCTGGTAGCTGAACTTGCCGTGTAGGGCATAGGGATGTTTAAAAAGCAGGATGACTTTAAGGGTTCAGAGATACAACGCAATAAACTATGTTATAATAATAATCCTGCAGGAAAAATAGAACTGTAGTACTGTCATATGACCTTCAGCAGGTTACAGTGACAGAGGTCTGAACATCAGATTATCACAGCAATGCGTTTCCATACAGTAAAATGATATTCTGGACCTCATACTCTGTCATGTCTAAAGATAGTGACATGTGTCTCACAACCTAGAGCTTTAAACAAATCACAGAAAAACATTTTATGCTGTTTCAAGACACTTACAACAAACATTATATATTTCCAGCAACACCAGAAGGTCCTAGTTATGAGCAGAGGGTTACATGAACCACAATACAGCTCAAGAAACGAATGCCCTCAGAGGCCAAACTGTGTCAAGAGATTAGGAGTCAAGATAACGTGTTATGCTGAATCATTATTTCAAGCCCCGACTGCCCACACAAAAACAATCTCCTGGTCCTGGCTCTCTGCCTGGACCACTCATTATGTCACACAATGCCGTGTCTGTTTCCATCATCTGTCATTAGCCCAGTTTTAGCAGTGACATTTCGTCCAATGCGACATGCCAGACGGATCAAAGCACTGTCTATTGAAGTGTTTTACACTTTTTGCTGTCCATCTTCATCTTGATATTGTTGCCGCTAAGAGCTTTCATGACTGGCTCCTATTGCAACCTGAAGCTGACTGAATACAGGCCATTTAAGATGAGGAACAGCATAGAGGTAGCAGAGGTAATCTTCAGCTAAAACCGTCATTCAGTAATCACACTGCTTTTCCTTTCTGATGAAAATTAAAGCCAATATTTACCCTGATAAGTATTAGCAAACCTGGTGCTGTTTAAAAGTGTGTGCTCAAGTTTGGCAATGATTAACAGCTCCAGGTCCTGGTGGTAAACGGATAGTGCGACATATAATGACATTGTCTAGGTTAAAGTGATCTGCAAGTGAACAAATACTAGTTTTTTTTTAGGAATCTTTTAAATTGTGGGTCAGTTTATCTACCTACATCACAACATCTGGTAAATTACATTAGAGCAGGTCTTAAAGATAATAACTACTCCTGATTACTTCCCCCAAACAGTCTCAAAAGTGCATTCATACTACATGGTTGAAAACTGGGGCGAATGCATGCTAATCCATGTGAAATGCCCAATTGGAAGACACACTATCCTTTCCTAAAATTGACTACCACAAAGGACATCTCAACAGGAAAAGCAGTGCGGTAACCTGAAGTTGCATACACATCACCACCTGCCAACCCCCCCGGACAAAATCAACCAAACAAAAGTAGAGAGTACGCTGATCAAGTTTCTGCCCGGTTAATACAGAGCAGAACCGTTTTTTGAACCCGAATGAACTGTAGCAGGTCGGGAAACAACACAATGTGCATTTACTTACTAACTTACAATTTAAAGACACTTAAAAGAGGACAGGGATACACATATGTGGGCTTTAGTATGCCCAGACTGAGCCGTCATGGCAAACCTGTTACGACTCTCACACTTTCAGGAGTTACTGGCTTTGGCAGGAAGGCATTCTAAAAACCAGACCACACTATTCAATGCAGCAAGGACTGAAGTACGAGTATGATTCTTTAGCTTATTAAATGCTGGTACTGCCTCTAAGAAGCTTTGAAAAAGCAAGTTTTTTAAGTTGATCTCTGAATGTAACTTTGAACAAATCCACTCCAAAAAATACCATTTTTTTTTTTTCACAAAAAAAAAATTCCTGAGTCTCCTCAAACCGGTTGTTGCTCGTACATATCAGTTGTGGGAACCAACATATTGTATTCTGCAAACTGACCAACAATGATAAGGGACATTCTTCACCCTCCGATGTGTAGATAAGCAGCAACACTGGATAGACTGTCATTACAATTTTTTCTTTATTTATTTATTTTTTTTTTACAAAAGAGTTTTACTTGCCTGCTGTGCACAACAAATATAACACTTGAAGCACACGAGAGAACAATGACAGGAAAAAACATCTTCTACCACAACAGCTCTTTAATCAAAGAACAACTTTAAACTGTCTGCGGCTGGATATCCTCACCGTACAGACAGAATTTCTAAGTCGTGATGGTCAACACAAAATCAACTGGCCACGGTTTTCGGAGCTTGTGGTACCTCGCACGATTCATCTACAGTTATTTGTTCTCCATCACTAAACTAGGCATTGAAAACAACGAAAAGTCCTCTTACCAGGAACGTCGTACCACTGCGCCCCGTTGGTGATGCCATCATTAAATGTTTCATCCAGGGCATCGGGACAGTTGGGCTCTCCGGTCTTCATCCCAGGGTGGTTCTGGGAGTACACCAGGGCCAAGTGGCGAAACAGGCCGTCGTCCTCTGACTGGCTGTAGTAGCCCTGCCGCAGGTGGGAGGCAGAGTCGTCAAAGGGGTAGCTGGCAACCACGGTGCCGCCATGCAGGTTCCCTGACAGCACGAATCTTGAGAGACGAAAGGAAAATTTTAGACACATGTGTGTCTTCTCCTCCAAACTCTAAAAAGTGACAAGGAAAGAATTCTGTTGTGTGAAGATGCTTGGGAGTAAATTCTAGGCATCTTCTTCTGGATGAATATTTGTGTACATGTCGGCTTATATTCTAGTCTTCCAAGTGAACCTCAGTCTCACACACCATGTTATTATGGCGTCCCAGGACAGCAGTTCTTTCTGACTTTATTTTGAGTCCCACACTGAGGTCCTGATTAAGAAGGGAACTAAGGAGAAAATGTGTTACTCATTGACAAACATGTTTCCTGCTCTCAAAATTGGGGCTGCGCCACTAACGTTTTATCCATTTCCAGATGTATTAAATAGCTGATCGCATCAAAGCAGAGGGGAAACAAGGAAAGACAGCGAGGGAGGTAGGACATGGAAGGTCCCTGGACGTTATTTATTTGGTACTTGACCCCAATTTTCAGCTTTCAGGATGCCTCTTAGTATTTTTTTTCTGGGGGGGGGATTAATCTATTATTGTCAGTTGGTCAATAAAATGTAAGAAAGTGGTGAAAAAATGTCCACCACAATTTCCTGATGCCAGGGCGATGTCGAGAAATTGCTTCTTTTTTTTTTTTTTTTTTTGCAGAGCCCAAAGATACTCTGTATAAAACAAGAAAAGGACACAAGAACATCCATCACATTGAAGAAGCTGGAACCACTGCATCTTTTGCAGTTTAGCTTGAAACATGACTCAAACATTTAGGAAAAGAGTTACGAGTTCATTTTCTGCCGATTGACTAATCTACAAATCTCTTTTGCACCTCAGTGTTACACACCGTGCCGTTATGGTGTCCCGGTTCAGTAGTTCTGGACTCCATAGTGAGTCACACAACCCCTGAGGCCTTAATAAATTAGACAAAGAACAGAGTTGCTCATTGATAGGAATGTTTCTCACTCTCCAAATCCTCCACTGTGAGATATGCATTGACCAAAAAGTGTTTTGAGATCAATAAAGTTTATTCAAGTCATTCCTCTGGGCAACAAGGCCCACAACAACTGAACTACGTGGTGTGTGCACTGTGGTGTGTTTCAAAGAAAGAGAGTAACTCACTTGTTCTCCTGGATCCATCTGATCACAGCCATCACCTCGGGGATGGTCCCTGGATTGACCCCGGTCCCATCATACTGGTCAGGAAAGCTTCTATTGAGGTCTTTATTTTGGGCATTGTTTCGACCCTCGCTGCTGCCACCGCAGTCTCCCTCTATGGACCTCTCAAAGCCGTCAGGGTTCATGCTGGGCATGATGGAAATATCCGTGGTGTCCACCAGCTCAGTAACACGCGATTCCTCTCCATAGTTAGTCAGCAGGTACTCTACAACGTACACCAGCACCTGCCTGGACACGGTTTCGTCCCCGTGCATGTTCCCGACGTATTTAAATTGAGGTTTCCCCGGTGTGTCTCTGGTGGGGTCCTTGGTGATCCGCATCACCCAGAGCTCCCGTCCCTCAACGGACTGACCTATGCTCGACAGGTTAGCTATGTGAGGGTATCTCTGAGCTAAGGACTGCAAACGCCCGGTCATGTCAACATAATTGTAATATTTGTTGTAAGTTTCTACCGTTTCCTCCGTCGAAGGGGTGCCGCTTCGTGTCCGGGGGACGTCACCACGGGAGACAACAAAAAAGAGAAGAAAGGCGAAAAGTGACGCCCGGAGTTTCGGCGTGCACGGTAGATGCTCCGAAATGTGCACCATGTTGACGTTGTCCTCTAATTTTACACCATTCGGACTTTCAAGTCAAAGAAAAAAACAACACCAGGTCCGGAGAGTTTGGCTCCGCAGCGACAGGCGTTTCTTTGCTGTCAGACGGTCTGGCCTGGCTGTTTCCATCTACTTCCGCTCATCTCAGAGGGGCAGGGCGTGACGGTGACGTAATGTTTTAAGGTCGACCGTAAGAGTTCGACTTTATTTTTTTTACGTTTTTGCCCCAATTTCACACATGTAACGTGTAAAGTAACAGTGCTGGCGGCTGTATATTTTCCAGAGATGTACTGCCAAATAGATGTAAATTTGTATTAATGTGGGTGTCAGAGTTGCCGTATATATGCATCCCAAATCCATTGTCCATTGTCATTGTTGTTGTTCTTTATGTTCATATATATTCTTCGATGTATATTTATATTTATATTGTACATAGTAGTTAAATGTTAAATGTTTATGCTGAGTTTCTCTGTTCTACTTTGTTGTCTTTAATGTCCTTGTTTTTATATTTTTCTTGTTTATTTGTATATTCCATGTACTGTACGTTGAGAGCAATGTGTAAACCAGAGTCAAATTCTATGTATGCGTACACATACATGGCCAATAAAGCTGATTCTGATTCTGATTCTTATATGACTCAAAAGTCCTGAAAAGTTTAATGTTTGCTCAACGGCCACAGGCAACACATTTTCAAGCCATTTTCTGTTGTATTATTCATTCTTGACTATGTTGAACCCTCACCCTGCAGGCAAACTTATGTTAGCCATGTCCATCCACTAATATTACACAAATGTGATGAATGTGGAGTGTTTCTCTAAGCTTTAGAGACTCTATACCGAATATATTTTAGCTATCAATGGAGCAGAGGCTCTGTAACTATTTATCTTAAGGGGATCTGGGTTTTGGCTCAATTTGAGGATTATTGACTTAATGTGTTCTAACCACTCTTTTCCTTAAGCAAACACGAGAGATCTTAATGAAAATGAATTTTAATGAGTGATTTTATTATCAATGCTGTTATGCTATTAACTGTTATCAGTAACTCATGTAACAATGCTTCTTATGTATGGGCGGAGCAACCACATTACATCTAACTTGTTTGCATTTTGAAAATACTTTGAGTTGTTGATTTAAGCTTTAAAAGTATTAATCCTCTGTTACAACGATATCAGAGGATGATATTCACACTCACAAAAAAAACTCTTGCTCATGATTTCCAGTAATTAACCAGTATCACTGACAAAATGTTGGTGATGTTTACTGTATGTGTGCATTGTTCATATCACCAACTGCATATTTTCTGTAAGACTATAATTATTATACACAGGCAATACAAGGATTATCCTAATTTACACTGCTCCACTTTGGCACAAGCTTCATGTGGATTTGTGAGCCCCCTTTTTGTGTAAATGTACTTTCCAAAAGCAGAGAATGAAAATAAATCACAACTGAGCACCATGGAGATTAGCAGCAGACTCTTGTATTTCTGTTTATTTTGTGTTGCCCATTCCTTTGTTATTGATCACTGGTAACACCATCTTTACCCACAAAGATGAGGAGCAATGACTGAGTGACATCACCACCCTGCCGCCATGCGCCCTTCAACTTCCTCCTCTTCTCTCCTCAGTGGGGCGTCAGTCAGGGGCTTCTCTTCAGTGACAATTTATTTTTCTTTCCTTAATTCTTTTCATAATTTCTCCTTACTTTTATTTGACAACAGAACAAAACAAAAGTGCGGTAAACATCTTGATTGTGAAGCACCAGCAAAGTGTCAACGCCTTAGTTCAGTCAGGTCTGACAGAGCTGGATAAAGCTTGGAATGACTGGGTTAAGGAGGAGGAGGAGGAGGAGGAGGAGGAGGGAGGGGGGAGGGGGGGGAGAGGAGGTAAAGAGTGAGAGGTTGAGAGAGGAGGCTGCAGGTCTTACTGCTGGATTCGACGCAGCGACTGCACCTGGAAGGACTGAGCATGGGAGCCCCACTCTCTGTAATGTTTGTACTCGCCGCCATGACGGTCACACTCCATGATGTACTGGTAGCCCCGGTAACCGGGAAACTGGTAGCACACCCAGCTGGAGAAGGAGGAAGGGGGGAGGAGGGATGTTTAGAGGAGGAAATGAAACCAGTGATTAATGATTGAAGATAACCACACTTCAAAAGTATGTGAGAAGAAGGCAGCAGTTAAAAACAGGGCTTCCTCTTGTCATTGACAGCTCACTACATTCAAAAAAAGTTAAAATAATAACATGTAGAGAGCAATACAGCATAATCTACACAGAAATATGAGTGCCCTTAAAAAATAAATACATCTCAAAAGGTTTATCCTTATGCATGCATTGCTGAGACACAAATAATCACAAATAAACTGACAAAATTAATTTGCAATAAATAATGGAATACATCATTTTGGGATCAGGTGGCGGTTAAGGTGTCTGCAGATTGTTAGTGTATTATTATAACATGTATTGTGCCATGTGAGTTTAAATGCAGCATGTTGGTTAATGGCAGCATTAGCAAGTCAGAAGCCTGTGAAGAGACTTACGTGCCGCTCTGAACTTGCATAGATCCAATCTCGTTGTTGCCCCAGCCCATCGCCTGCAGAGAGGGGTAGTCGTCGTTTATCTCCCACTGGCGTCCCATGAAGTTCTCCTTCTCGAACAACACCATCTTGGACTCCTTGTGGTTCTGTGTGCATGTAATGCAAGAAAAGACAAGTTATTTACTATATGGGCCTATTCATCTAATTTGTGAGGGAAGTCCATAATCTATGCATCTATCTATAGTTTATTTTTAGGCTGTTGGGATCCATAGGCTTTTCACACAAGAAACCAAGCAGGTCAATTTGTCAAACTTAACGCTTTTTAATTCAGAATCTTCTGGAGACACATGAGACGTCAAATAGAGGGGAAACACAAGCCTTTGGAGTGGGACCTAAACTCACAGCAGCGCAGATGGGGCGGAAGGACATCATCCTCTCAATGTGGTAGGCGTTGCTGCCGCTCCACGACTCCCAGTGTGGATACTCTCCTCTCTCCAACACAAACTGCTGTCCACAGAAGCTGGAGTGTTCATATCCTGCCCAGCTGTCCACAGCAAGCAGACAGACACATATACACAACATGCAGGACCATTAGGACACTTAGGTAAAAACAGACTGATTACCAGATATTGGATCTGCTGAACATTTCTACTGTTGCTGAATGTGAATGTTTTCACAGGTAGATCTCTTTCACTGAAGGTAATTTCCTCATGTGTGAAAGATTCTGCAGAGCTCCTCGTTTTGACTTACGCTCCACACTCCACCTTCAGCGAGCGGATGTTGTCAACGCCACACTCCATGATGTTCTGGCAGGCTGAGGTAAACTCCAGACGCTTCCCTTGGAAGTTCTCCTGGTCATAAACTGTGATCTGGAGAGGACACAAATGCATACATGTAGTATGCACATGCCACATGCACACACTGACGTGTGTACAGACACGCACATCATCATTGACATCGTCAGGCCAGGCATGAATTTAAAAAATAATGTGAATCTGCTTTTGTTATTAAGCACCAATGGCAAGACATGACACTCACCTTCCATGGCCCCAGTGGGTTGGGATTGTTCAAAGCCATGCTACTGTGTGTCTCAATGCTGATTCACCTTCAGTGTCGAGAGAAGGGAGAATCATATAGACAACTTAAGGAAAACATCACACAGTTCAAACACAACCTGTCACCTCCTCCACACAAACTTCATGAGCTAAGTTATTGTCAATAGTCTATGTAGGAGGTATAGTCATATTCTTTGAGTGTTGCATGTCTGATACAGTAGGAATAATCTTGACCTCTATGAAAGAAGTATGAAACCTTTCTTGAAGCTGACTATATGCTCACACTTGATGATGCAGCTGTTGTCGTAGGCACAATGCTGTTTGTTCTCCCGTATGATCAGTATGTGTTTGCATGTGCATGTCTGGCCTCAGTCTATACATTTATGTGGCTCAGCAGAAACAACAAAGACAAAAGACACAGAAAGATAAAGTGACAATGGTCTGCAAAGGTCTATAGGATGAATGGATTGAGATAGAGGGCTTACCTGACCGGCCCCAAAGAATAGCAGTGCAGTGCTCACAGGGGGCTCCACAAATACGATGTCCCGACCCCAGAGTAAACGGACCTATTTATACACGCTGGTGCTGAAAAGCAGCTGGGCCCGTGGGTCGGGGCAGGAGTCAGCACATTGCTGTTGCAGTCATTGTTCAGCACTGAGCTGCCGGGCTTTAGTCCGCTGCATTCGGACTGGATGGAGGGCACCGTGCCCAGTGCAGATAAGCGCAAGTTCCAAATGGTCCACGATCAGCGGGCCGGACCAAGTCCTGGCACGGCCTGGTCCAGGAAACAGATCATCACAGATGTAGGCAGTCTTGCCAGTGACTCTGATGCAAAAGGAAAAAAACACATTTAGTGTTCAAGTGAAAAGCAAACTGATATTGCGGACCACAAACAGAACATCTTAACTTGTATTTAAAATCTCTATCCTAAAAGACGCTTGACTCAAAATAACAGAATTGTCTGATTAATAAGCCAGATTTGTACTTTAATAATGTACCTGCTTAGTTCCTTCCACACTGAGCTGTGCTCTGTCTCCGAGCTGCACGCCATGTCCACGTCAACTGACCCCATGTCTCTGGTCCTTTAACTTTTCACTCACTCCTATATACACACATGCTCAGTCATGCACACACACAGTAATGGTCAGAAATGGTTCATGCCGTCAGAAATATATTCAGAGCATACAAAGGAACTCACACACTTACACATCCTATACATCCGTTTAGACAGAGACAACTGACCTTGAAGTCAGTTTACAACTTTACACGTTACTTTATTTCATTCAACGTTTTTTTCTTCATGGCGATAAAAATAAATAATAATTAAAACATCCACGTAAGCCTAAACATGCCGGAAAAATACATTTTCATTGCATTTTATACAAAAATTCCTGACACAAGCGTCCCCACAGGTCAGTGTTTTCAAAGCAGTTCACCTAGCTAGCTAACTCTAAACTCATGGTTACTTTATCAAAAACTCCAATAATGCATTAATATTGTCATACACATATTACAGAGCTACATAGAGTATACCATTAATACTCTGGGTC